ATTTCGGCCACAAAGCGCTCTGCATGCCTTGCAAATGCTTCTGCAAAGCTCCCAGTTTGTTTACGTACATCGGACGGATCAACATCGTAAAATATTGGAAGAACCAATTGTCCCCTTGTTTTCTTGCACTGGAGGATATCCACAAGCTCATCTAAACACCATGTTGAAGATGCATAGTTCTTCGAGAATATGATAATAGAAATCTTTGATCCTCGTATTGCTTTCAACAGTTCCAATGGAATTTGTTTCCCACATTGTAGTTGATCACTGTCCATGAAAGTGTGAATACCAGCATGAATCAAAGCAGAGTAGAGATGATCAGTGAAGTTTTTGCGTGTATCTTCACCTCTAAAACTCAAGAAGACATCGTGCGTCCAGGGTGTGGAAGATGAAAATGAGAAACAAGAAGGTTCATGTTGAATGGTTTTGCCAGCCATGGAACAAGCACAAGAGAGGAGCAAATGCAAATGGATAGCTATTGGGTAAGGGATGTTTTTGTATCAGTGAAAAGTGGCCTTTTATAGGTGAAATCTCTGGCAACTCCATCAGACTCTGTTTTATTTTCTTAAAATCCCAAATGACCCGTCACAAGGGGTCAAGCCCAGCCTAATTCCTGGTAAGACTATTAATACATGCTAGTAGCTTGAGCTCAATTTGGTTTTGGTTCATTTAAATTGCAAAATAAATACACTCAAAATAGATTCTTAATTCTTTTTTTTTTTTTTTTTTTTCTGTAAAGACTCAAATCTAAGCAACCTATGGTTCGATTGGAGTACACTTGGCTTTCCGCGAAGTGTACCATATAAGCACTCAAAAAACAATTTCTTGGCATTCTGGTAATGAGGACCCCAATTACGAACCATAGGATCAATCCTCCTAAAATAATGTTCATTACTAAAAATATAGTAATACTAGATTGAGCAAATAATATGACCAAAAGCAACAATCGAATAATGTGATATTGGTATGTTAGTAATTTGGGTCCCTTAAATAATAGATTATTATGATATTTAAGAAACCCGGGTATCTCTTAATTAGAAAAGAAATACCCATTCTTAATTAGGAATATTGTGATTATTTATTTATTTATTTTTATATATATATTTTTTTGGGGGAGGAGAAAGGAGATTTGAATCTCTGAACTCCAGTTTCCACTCTTCCTCTTTAAGACAAACAGAAACTCTCTCTGGGTCTAGTTCAGCCTACCCCTTAAGCCAAAAGTGTAATAGGCCATATGAGGACAGTTCAAGACACCCAGGCGGAGCCAGAAACTAGCTTAAGGGTGAGTATTTTAAAAAAAAGTCGGTTTTATTAGGAAGTGATTAATATCTTTAGACTTCCAAAAATGACCCTATTTTTATGTATATTAATAAAACCGTGTAAATCACACATCAAAACTCCATTAAAATCTAAACAGCCCATAAATCTCGAGCTATTTTAGGATAAAACTTTTTCTCCCAATTGATAAAGGTAAGATGATATATTGATATTAATTACATTATATTTGACAAATAAACTACTTAAATTGAAAAAAGAAATTATAAACCTTATCAAAATGTGAGGTTCATTACATCTATTTATAACTAACTTTGACATGATTTTATATTTTATATCAAAATTGCAAAGCTAAAGAAGTAGGCGTAATAATACCACTAAAATCCAATTGACGGGCCTATTACAAATAATTTTTCTTTTAAATTACGAATTTAAAACCAAAAGAATAAAAAATATATAAATCAAGGCAAATTTAAAAGGTGTACTAATTATTTTTAAAAATATAGTTACATTAAGAAAAAAATTTGGAAGAGGTGTTACATAAAGTATAAAATTATATGCACAAAAAATATGCACCAAATCATTTACAGTCGTTGGATCAATAATAAAAGCTATTGATCCGACGACAACAAATAATTTGATGCACACTTTTATTATGCATGGTATTATTCTGACAGAAATCCGCAACTGTTAGCACCTCGGTCTAGGACCAGACCGAGGTCATGTCAAGATCTGAGGTCCTTGTTGCCGGTCGTTAATTTCAATTCCTTGAATTTTTTTCCTTCTCCCCGTGAGCAAGAATTCAATCAGACTTACAAAATCCTACTCCGATTGGCCATCACCATGACTTTTCACCGATCTTGATAGAATTCTGTAGAATATCCCTTTCATGACCATTCAGCAATCTTGATACAACTCTGTAGAACATTTCTTTCACGACTATTCACCAATCTTGATAGAACTCTGTAGGACATTCCTTTCATGACTACAGTACCGAAATTCAAAATTTTGGTAAATTGATCATATTTGTAGTAGTTTTTATTATATTTATGGGTAATTTTATCATTATTGTCGTGCCCAAAAAAATGATAAAAAAAGTTATCGCAACTGTGGTGAAAACATTCACGGATATAATAAAAATATCCATAAATATGATAAATCATCCACAAAAATAATAATTTTTTGTACTTAAAAAAAGTCAAAAGTTTTTTGAGCGTACCGTAGTCAAGTACTCCTTTCATTAGTCTAACCCCTCTTTAGGGGTTGAAAGATCCACATTAGGTGTTGCTACACTCCTTCATAAGTCTAACCCCTGTTTAGGGGTTGAAAGGCCACATTAGGTGTGGCGGCTAAGGAAGATATTTTAGACTTAATTGAATTCACCTCTCCAAAGGTTTGTCCAATTAATAGGTAGATCTTCTCATCTATTAGAAATAACACTGACATCCCCTATTAATGGAGTAAATATTCGGTGTCATAGTTATACCACGTTATTATATTGATATAGTATAACAATTTTCAATAATAAGATATATGTAGGTAAGTGGATCCCACATAATTAAATAATTACTCATCCACATCATTCAGTATTTAATTATGTGGATTCACTTGCTTATACATTGTCTTATTATTAAAAGATTACACCATATCAACATTATAACATGCTGTAACCGTTACACCCAATAATTTTTCACTCAGTAGTTTAAGTCAATACCTTTCTTTATAAATTTTTCACTACTTCACTACCATATGTTAATTTCACAGTCTATTTTTTAGGGAATTTTCAATGAAGTTGATAATAAAATTTCTATTCTTGCATTAAGTATCAATGAATTTGACAGTGAAAATGGAGAGTAAAATATGAACACTCATTTTTTCTCTCTCTATCTCTCTCTATAAATTCCTATTTCATTGTCCGATTTCAAAGAATTACAAAGTAAAATTGAAAAGTGAAATTTTTGTTTCATTGTCCAAATTTAGTGAACTAAATAGTAAAATTGGACATTGAAATTCGTATTTCACTATTTAAAATTACATTATTTATATTCTCACTCTGTAATTGTCTCTCTGAAAATTTTGATAACAGTAATTTTTTACCGCCATAAACTAATTTCACTATTCAATTTTAGTGTGGATTTATTTCACTGTCACACTTCAAAAAAGTGAAATATTTATTTCACTAGTTAAATTAGACTAATTTCACAATTTGTGCTAGTGAAATTTACCAATTACACTGTCTTAGACGTTATACCAAGACAATGGAACACACCAATTTAACAATTAGTGACAGCTAATATAACTGTAACATTAGCATAATAATATTGTTGGTCCCACTTTTTATTATGGTAATATCACATCTTTGAAAGAAGAGAATAGAAAGTGAATAATTGTATAATGCTTTGGTGCACTTTTTCATATGCATGAGGAAGTGTAATTACGGTACAAGAAAGAACTAAAATATCCTAGTCTAATCGATGTAGGACAAGCTTATAAACATATATACATTAACATCCCCACTCAAATTCAAGGAGGAATCGAAGATGTCAGTTTGAGTTTGTTAACCAAATCACAGTGGTGACTAGGAGGATTAGTCTTCATGAAGATATTAGTCAATTGATCAGCAGAAACAACCAAAAAAAGACAAAGAGTGCCCTCCTGTAGGTGATGACGTACAAATGACAATCGATTTCGATGTGTTTTATGCGCTCATGAAAGACATCATTGTGAGCAATTTGAATAGCACTTCGGTTGCCACAATAAAGAGGAGTACTAAATTGGTGAGGAACACTCATATCCTGTAGAAGCTAGTGAAGCCAAAGGAACTCGGAAGTAATATCAGCAAGTGTTCGGTACTCAGCTTCAGTACTAGAGCGAACAACAACTTTCTGCTTCTTACTCTGCCAAGATATAAGAGAATCACCCAAAAGAAAAAGAAAGTCAGTGGTGGACCGTCAATCAGTAGGGTCACTTGCCCAATCGGCATCAGAGTAAACCTGCAATGTCAATGATGAGTTATAAGAAAAATGAAGCCCATGGAACTACAATGCTTGCACCCAACAGAAGATAATTTTTCTGCGCGAGTGGAGATTATAGGGTTTTGAGGCTGGCACAAAAGACAAACCCACAAAAATTAACATAGAAACTGAAAAAGAAACTCAAGTTGAATTTGATGATTGCCTTGAGGTATGAGAAGGCACTCATTGTAAGATTCTCTCTTGATTTATTAATACATCTGTTCCTTTTATTCGGAGTCTTCTTCCAAAGTTTCAAAAGCCAAGCTTGCCTGAGATTTTTTGGCAAACTAATACAATTGTTCTAGTGATGTTGCTCTCTAGTTTCGGCTAGAATCTAAGCTCTATCAAATTCTAGCTGAAACTGATAGGGAGAGAGGGGAGGGGGGATTGAACCTTTTACCTCAAGGCAAAGTCTTCACAAGACAAGAAGTACCATTGGACCAAAGGCTCATTAGTCACAAGGGTGGTGTGGGATCAGCTTTCTTAAGTAGACCCAACTTTTAAGGATGCTGACTCCATTAAGCTATTCGCAAACTATCGAGATCGTCGTCAATTTACTCACTTTATGATGCACATTTGGGATGATTTTGAAACCACTCGAGCATCATTACTCCATCGTTTTCCTCTTTCTACACTTGTAGTTTCCCTCACAGAGCTCATTTCTGAGGAGACACAACAAAAACTCGCCAAGTCCATTCCACTGATTTGGTCATGGCTGTTGCACTATTTAGCTCCTCTACTATAGCCACTCCCACTGCAGCTACTTCCTCCTATAGACCCCATCTTTTCAATGGACAATATCACTATTATAAGGAAGATGGCCACCACATCTCTAATTGTCCAAAGAAAAAGGCTAAGGATGCTAGAGACGTTTAGAAGGCTAAGTTTTCTTCATCTCATAAGCCTGTTGTTGCTGTTTCTACCAGCCTATCAGCTTCCGAATATCCCACTACATCTCCTTTTGTACTCTCTTACTATAGCGACCTTGTGGCAATTGTGACTTAGGTTCTATCTCGTACTTCCACTACCTTATTAGTCGTCTTATGTAAATCTTCTCCTTGGTTTTTCGACTCAGCCTGTTGCAATTATATGACATCCAATTCTTCCTTGGTGTTTCATAAAAAGTCTTTAAACTCGATGCCTCACATATATATTGCTAATGGTTCACATATGTTTGTTACTCATGTTGGTCCCATTTCTACCCCTATTATTTATGTTTCTGACACGCATCTTGTTCCTAACTTATCTCTAAATCTTCTTTCTATTGTCAACTTGTTGAATGCGGTCTTATCTTAACCTTTTCTCACGAAGGATGTGATGTGTAGGATCAAAAAGCGGGCCAACTAGTTGGGATTGGGCATAAAGTTGGTCGTTTTTTTAAGCTTACATCTCTACATGAGCCCAACTCATGCATTAATCAATTGCTTGTTATTGTTGTGCCTTCCAGTATTTAGTATTCTCCTCTCGGTCATACATCTTTATTTTGTGTCTAGTCTTTATCTTCTAGTGGTTGTTTAGGAGATGTTAAATTTGAATTGTTTGATTGTATGTCTTGTCAATTGGGAAAACAGAAAGCTTTACCTTTTCATAGAGGTGATTCTTTGTCTTCGACACCTTTGGATTTGGTTCATTATGATGTTTGGGGTCTTGCTCTTGTTCCCACTAAGGGTGGATCTTATTATTTTGTAATCTTTATTGATAATTATAAACGATACACATGACTTTATCTGTTAAATTATCACTCTGAGTTACTTAATAGTTTTCGTGAATTTAAGCAGATGATCAAAACTCAACTTCAGGAACAAGGTCTAGAGGTGCTAGAGGGCAGAATGTCAACAAGGTGGAGATTGCTGCTAATCTTATTCATAAACCAACTGGGATACGAATCTTTTGCACTGAAGAAAGGACTCAACTTCAAAACAAGAATTGCGCTCTTCAATTATTGTGTGCAAAATTGTATTAGATCAAACTGAGGGAACAACAAGAGTTGATCAGGAATCAGAGAAAATTGCGGGTTGGTACAGGAGCTTGTGCAAAAAAGATCCGGACCTACAATTACAAGGACAATAGGGTTTCTGACCACAGGCTGAAAATGAACTTTGAGCTAACATCATTTCTTGATGGTGATATTGAGACAATTGTTCAGGTACATTTGCTTCAAAATCCGCCAGGATGCCCATCCCGTCCATCCCCAAACAACACTCGTTAATAAATGAAAAAGAGAAAAAGAAAAATCATCTTGATTATTTCATCAGCTAATTTCTATATTTTTTATTATGTGGTGAAACTTTCCAAAAATAATTTTCATAATACCAAGATTGCTTGTGTTGTTAAGGTTAAGCCCACTTACATCTATTCTTGCAGTCTTGTGCTACTATGGAACAAAAAGAATTATTAGAAGAACTTGTAGAATCTATGTCAATGACTGCTAGCTGATTTTACATCACTCTTGGATAGTTCCAGGATCTAGATTGGGAGTGGGATGGCTCTCTTGATGTGAAAATTCACAAAAAAACATAGATGCTGATGAGGTTTGCTATCAATTTTCGTCTTCGGGTATATTGTGATGACATCCTCAGCTTGTCCACGCCCCTGCCCCCGCGGTTTTAAGACCATGTAACATATTGGATATGCTTAGAATAGAACCAGTGAGATTGCCATTATCAAGTATGATTGCAATGTAATCGTACTATAATAATAGCTTTTTGCAATGAATGAGCCGAGCCTGTCTACATTGTAGATGTAATGAAAATAAATAAATAAATCAAAACTCAGTTTGATCGCACCATTAAAACCTTTCGTTCCGATAATGCTATGGAGTGTAAGGCTACCTCATTCATTGAAGAACTTAAACAGGTAGACATTTTGTCTCATCGACCATGTCCTTACACCTCCCAATAGAATGGCAGTGCAGAACGTAAGCATCATCACATTCTTGACATTGTTCATTCTCTCCTTCTGTCTGCCTATCTCCCTGAATCTTTTTGGGGAGAAGCTGCTTCACACTATTAATGGGGTTCCATCTCCTATTATCTCTTATCATTCTCCCTATGAACTATTAATGGGGTTCCATCTCCTATTATCTCTTATCATTCTCCCTATGAACCTTAGATGTACAAATCTACGGCCCTCTGATCCTATTAGTGGATCCTTTCGGTGTCACCGTACCTGTTTCAATACCGACTGTCTCACTCGTTCCACTTAACATATTTGTAATTACAATATCAATATAGTTATCAAATTTAATAATTAATCATGCACTAATGCATGCAAATGATGCACCCCAAAGTGCCTCGGTAACTCCAATTACCGTCCTATCCACTCACACACTAGCACTTTTGTTTTAAGGATCACATTTCCTCTCTAAATTCCCAAATTCAATCACATTAATCACAATTAGGATTAAGCAGGTCAAACACATTGACCGGGGGCTCATTTTCACACATTTCGACCCCGAATCCTAAAAACTGCACTTCCGGTATTTTATACATTTCGCACCGGACATTATACTCATGTGCATTCAAAAGTCACATTATCACATCAAACATTATTTAAAACTGCAACATGCAAAATTTCAGGTCATTTGGATTAAAGTTCACAAATATGATAATAACATTTAGAAATCAGGGTTTCGGCGTTAACGGCACCCCTTTCCAATTTTTATCGTATTTTTTATTTAAAATCGCTACACTTAATCTTACACACACATTTAATCATGCAATTTCAGCCCCTAATTGAACCTTTAAATTACTCATTTCACTCTCATAATTTCGGTTCCAACCTAGCCCTAAAAAACATACCGAATATTTCAAATAGCTATTTTTTTACATTTTTTCCATCTTTATTTTAATACCCATTTGGAACCTATCTTTAATAGCCCGTTAATTATGCTAAATATATTTAATTACAATCATACAAAATCTGTTTTAACATTAACTAAATTAGCTCATGAAATTTGAATTAAAACAACTCATTAAAATAAAATAAGGCAGCTCATGTATTTAAATTAAAACAACATATTCATTAAAGCATGCTAAAATAGCCCACACATATATAACAACATATATCTTAAAATTAATCACAACGTACAATTAAATTGAGTCACATATTTTTCTTGCTCACGGTTCAAATAGACCCACACACGTATATTTTTTTTTCATTTTTTCCTTTCTTCCTTTTTTTTTCTCTTTCTTTTTTGCCCTTTTCTCTCTTGCTCACCTCACTCTCTCGGCTCCCAGCTGATCAGAACACACACACACTTTAGGTTCTCTATTAAACACACACACACACACACACACACCCCTTTTATATTTATTTAACACACACACACTTTACACCATTAAACACACACTTACACACGGCATCCCTTTATTTTTATTTTAAAAACATGTGTAAAGTTAGGTGAATAATTACACTTGCTCCCCCCAAATTTTTAAATAAATTTAAAATCGACCCACTAATATTTTTACACATGAAATTCCTATAAATGGGTCTCACTAATACATCACTAACAAGGTCCACTTACCCAATGTATGCTCACATACATCATGACTATGAAGGATTTACTTTAATTAACCCGTTAATAATTTTGCATAATTACACTTTAGCCCACAAAATTATATTAATATGCATGCAATGCGTAATTGGATCTCACAACTCTCCCCCACTAATAAAAATTTCGTCATCGAAATTACTTACCTGCACTAAACAAATGTGGATTTTGAGCCCGCATACTCTCCTCAGTCTCCCAGGTTGCTTCCTCTACTGAGTGACTACGTCACAAAACCTTAACCAACGGTATCGTCTTTGTACGTAATACCTTCTCCTTCCTACCCAAAATTTGAACCGGGTGCTCTACATAAGTCAAATCCTCAGCTAATTCCATCGGTTCGAAAGTCAACGCATGTAATGGGTCAGACATGTACTTCTGTAGCATAGACACATGGAATACATCATGCAATCTGGACAACTCTATTGGTAACTTCAATCGGTAAGCAACAGCTCCAATCCGTTCCACAATGCTGTACGGACCAATATACCAAGGAGCCAACTTCCCTTTCCTACCAAAACGAATGATCCCTTTCCAAGGTGATACCCGTAAAAACACTCGATCACTCATCTTGAATTCCAAGTCACGTCGGCGATTGTCAGCATAACTTTTCTGTCTGCTCTGTGCACTCCGTAATCTCTCTTGTATAACTTTAATCTGATCAGCAGTCATTTGCACAATCTCTAGACCCAATAACTTCTTCTCACCCACTTCACTCTAGCACTTTGGGGTCCTACACTTCCTCCCATACAAAGCTTCATATGGTGCAATTTCAATTGAACTTTGGTAATTGTTATTAAAAGCAAATTCAATCAAAGACAAATAATTATCCCAGTTACCTTGAAGGTCCATGACACAAGCTCTCAGCATGTCCTTCAATGTCTGGATAGTACGCTCTGTCTGTCCATCTGTTTGTGGGTGGAACGTTGTACTAAACTTTAAAGTAGTGCCCAACACAGTCTGTAAGCTTGGCCAAAACCTCGAAGTAAAGCGTTGATCCCTGTCAAAGACAATAGATACAGATACACCATGCAATCTCACAATCCCATCAATGTATAATCTAGCAAGCCTGTCAAGAGCATATGACATTTTAATAGCTAGAAAATGAGCAGACTTCGTCAACCTATCAATTATCACCCATATAGCCTCATGTCCTTTCTGTGAACGGGACAAATTACTCACAAAATCCATAGTAATATGCTCCTCTCACTTCCATTCTGGAATTGGTAGTGGCTGTAATAACCTGGCTGGTCTTTGATGCTCAGCCTTCACCTGTTGACATACCAAACATCGAGCCACAAACTCAGCCTTCACTCGTGACCTGAGAGAGCATTATTGGTGGCCTGGAATGAAACAAGACTTCCTCCAGAATCTCTCTTTTTGACCTTGCATCATTAGGCACACATAACCGAGAACCAAATAACAAAACATCATCAGCATCAATAATAAAATCAGTTTTCACTCCACTCTTCACCTCTTTCTTCAATTTCTCAATTTGGAGATCAAACTGTTGTGCCTCTCTAATCCTATCCACTAGCACTGGTCTCAAAGTCAATGTAGCAAGTAAAGTTGTAATCTCTCCTATCTCCAACTTCACTCTCAATGATTTAAAATCCACAAATAAACCCCTCCGAATTACTCGCAAACTAGCCAATCTATCTGATGATTTCTGACTCAAAGCATCTGCCACAACATTTGCTTTCCCCGGTTGATAATAAATAGTGCAGTCATAATCTTTAATAAGCTCAATCTAGCGCCTCTGCCTCAAGTTTAGCTCTTTCTAGGTAAATAGATATTTCAGACTCTGGTGGTCTGTATAAATCTCACACGTAACCCCATATTAAAAATGTCTCCATAACCTCAGTGCAAACACAATAGCTGCAAGCTCTAAATCATGGGTGAGATAATTGCACTCATGAGGTTTCAACTGTCTAGAGGCATAAGCAACCACTCTACTATGTTGCATCAACACACAACCCAACCCTTGATGTGAGGTATCACTATAAACTACGAAACCATCAAAACCTGACGGGATGGTCAATACTGGTGCAGTCGTCAATCTGGTCTTTAGCTCCTGAAAACTCTGCTCATATCTATCAGACCATTCAAACTTCACACCCTTTCAAGTCAATCAGGTCAAAGGCATAGCTAAAATGGAGAAATTTTGTACAAATCTCCGATAGTAACCTGCCAATCCCAGAAAATTTTGAATTTCTGTCAATGTTCTCAGTCTCTCCTAGTTAACTACAGTATCAACCTTAGCTGGATCAACACATACACCTTCACCAGAAACTATATGCCCCAAAAACACAACCCTGTCCAACCAAAATTCACATTTGCTGAATTTGGCAAATAATCGCCTATCCCTCAAACTTTGTAGGACCACCCTCAAATGTTGCATATGCTTCTCTTTACTGTGAGAGTATATCAATATATCATCAATGAACACTATCACAAATGAATCAAGATATGGCTGGAATATTCGATTCATCAAATCCATAAATAGAGTAGGAGCATTTGTCACACCAAAAGGCATCACCAGAAACTCATAGTATCCATACCTGGTCCGAAAAGCAGTCTTCGATATATCACTATCCCTTACTTTCAACTGATGATATCCTGATCGATGATCAATCTTTAAAAACGCCCAGGCACCTTGT